AGGTGACAGGAAGGCAGGGCGGAAGGAGGTATGGATAGCATTTCCATTTGGCAGAATGTTGTCGTCAGGGTTTGCAAGGGAATAGATTTAATACAGGACATAAAATTTATAGGATTATTTTATAATATTCACCCAAAAAGTCAAATGCAGAGGAGTGCAAGAGATCTGTCCACACTCTAGAGACCCAAAGAATCCAGCCGAGGGCCTGGATCCCATGGCAATGTCCTATATATGTCTAGCTAAAGGCGTAGAGCCCAAGGCAATGTCCTGCATGAATCCAGCCAGAGGCCTAGAGCCCAGGGCAATGTCTCCTGCAAGTTCATACCAAGGATCTGAACTGCGAAGGCCCAAAGGCCAGTGGTGGAAGCGAGAAAGTCTGTGCTGGAGTAAAGGATCCATGCCACCAGCTGAGGGATCTGCACTGGAGCCAGGAACTGATGCTCAAGTCAAACACCAGAGCTCCCCTGACAGCAGCCATCCCTGGTGACAGAGAGGACCCCAGCTCCTCTGACATGAGAACAGCCAAGTTCGTATCAGGAAAACCAGGCACGGCAAGCTTCTCCAGAAAAATCAACAGCACACAATCTTCCCCTCCAGTTCTCCTCTTATGCCATTGACAATAATTCTCAGGTGGGTCTTCCACACACAGAACCACGCTGACTCAGTTCAACAGGGTGTTCCAACTTGACCACACAGAGTGAATCCCTGGTGAGGGCTTCATTGGGAAGGACCTGCTGACCCTCAGTTCCTAAGGGACCAGCAACAAACCAGTCCCAAGGGGTTCTCCTCATGGGGACACATCACTCCCTTGCAGGCAGCTCCTGTTGGTGGAGGGAGAAGAGGGCAAGGAGTGTATGCATCCAGTGTAGACAGCCCTGGGTATAGATGGCTGGAGGCCAGTTGACTGTGCCAGTGAAAAAGAGTTGGGGGCTGGGGGATCCCCAGAGGGCTGTTTAAAGAGGGAGGGACTCAGCCAAGGCCAGGCCTAGTCACCAGGTTCAGTGACCCTGAAGCCCCTCACTCTGCCTGGGGGAGTGCTTCCCGAGTGCCCCCTGCTGATTTATGGGCCTCCCAGGGGAGCTGGAGTTAAGCTTCGAAGACCTGGCTCCCTCCTCCTCCACCTCCCTGTTGGGGTCAGCCCGGGTTGGGGGTGGCTTTCAGCTGGTTTCCAGATGGGCTTGTGGAGGGGGTACCCTGGGAGGGGGGATCAGACACCCCAGTAAGGACCTGGTGGGTGTCAACTGGCCTCTGTCTCTATCTCCTTGTTTCTCCCTCTCTTGTCTCCTGTCTCTGTCTCAGGCCTTGTCTCTGTCACACACTGCCTCTGCAGCCCCTCTTCCCCACCGATTGGCCCTGGTGGGTGGGGGTGGGAGCTGGTGATTTATCACCAGCTGCCTGTCTTCCATCGGAAACGCCGGGGGTGGGCGCAGACGGTGCAATGAGCTATGGGCCCCCAGGGCTCCGCCACCCACCCCAATGTTGTTGCTCTGTCTGGGCAGCGGGTGCGATCCCCCCCACCACGTGGCCTAGACTTGGGCCCCCCACACCTTCCCAGGCCTCCTCCATGGGGCCCCAGGCAGGTCAGCCCAGCTCAGAGGCGTCCCCAGGCTGGCACGGGCCCAACGGAGCACTTCAACGCAAGCCTGGTCCCTAAGGTGGTCCGGAGGTGTAGGAGCAGAAGCCGTGTCCTGGGCTGCCCTCACTGTTGCCCATTCAGCCCTCCACGCGATGCACACAGCAGGGACCCAATAAGTGTTTGCGGAGCAAACACCAGTAGGAGGGGGGAGGGCACACCTGGGCTGGCCCCCGCCCCCACACCGGCGGAAGAGGTCCCTTATCTTCGTGGCTGACGGGCTGTCACTGCGCCCGCGAGGGGAGGGGAGGCGGCCGCGCTCACCCACTCCCTGTCTGTCAGTGGCCGCGCGACGCCCCGTCGCAACCTCCAGATGGGGCAACCTGCTCGCCCCTCTCGCGGCCGTCCTCTGTAGCATGGACAAGTTGTCTCTTCTCCCTGTCTGTTTCTCGGAGGACCCTGGCTGTCTGCACCCCTAGCACCAACCTCCGCCTGCGTTATCCGCTTCGCTGGAGTTTTATGCAAGCCGCGAGCGCCCTCTGGTGCTTCCCTAGGGTTGCACCGCAGGAGGGGAGGACCGGACCCTGCGCCAGGCCCGGTGAGGGCCAGGGCACCCATCCACTCCACAATGAGGAGGTAGAGGCTCTCGTTGGGATGTCCTGGCTGTGTCTACTCCGGGGCTGCCTTCTCCCTTGCTGGGACTCCATTTGTTCGACTCTTTGGTCAGTTGCTTGCTGTCTGGCTGTGCGCAGACACCAGAGGTGGAAACAGACCTAGACAGAGGGTCCTGTGTCAGACCGAGAGGGCAGAGTGGGGCTTGAAAGGAGCCTTGAAGAGGGGCGACAGAACAGGAAGGAGGGCACCAGGGCAGGGATGTGGCCCTAGGGAAGGTGTGGAGTGCCTGGCTAGTGAGACAGGTGCACTGAGGTCTGGGCCTCCCCCTAAGGAGTCCAGGGAGGCTGCTGGGCAGTGTGCTGCAGTTCCTTCTGATCATTGCAATGCAGGGCTTCCCTAAGGCCAGGAAGTGTGGGGGTCTGGGCGGGGCTGCCTAGTTTGTGCTGGTCTGAGGGGAGTCTGAGGCCACAGAGGGCAACAGCTGGTCAGTGAGCAGGAGGCCTTGAGGGAGGTGTGTTTTCTATGAAGTGGCAGACATGCTGGGGCAGGGGGCTAGGAGGAGTGTGTGCAGCTCTCCTCCCCTGGTAGGGCCATTCAGGGGCACTGAGCTGGGACCATCCACTTCCCTGAATTCTTTGGAAGTTGAGGCCCCAGGCTCAGTACATGGGAAGGTCAGCGCAGGGTCAGGAGTTGGGATTGGGGACTCCTAGTCCCCTAGAGGAGGACAGTTAGCAAGGCAGGCTGTGCTCCCACCCGGGTGGTCAGTACCCCGGCATCAGCCAGTCTACACTATGGGGTAGACCTAGAGGAACCTGGGGTTCAGCTGCCCCACTGGTCAGTACACAAGACTTCTTCCTTATGTCTGCACACTGTGATCTTAGTCTTGTTCCCCCATCAGAAAAGCCCGAATGGCTTCAAAGCTCCTGCCCTTCAGGGCCTCCATGCCCACCCTCTCCACCAGGCACTGGCCCTGGAGCCCTCAAGCCTTGTGAACAGAGGGCAGTGGGTCTGGGCTCCTTTCCATAGCTCCTGCTGGGGCCTCATCCCATAGCCCAGGGGGTACCTCCTTCTCAGTTTGGGGCCACCTAGAACCCCGGGCCCACTTTTTCCTAGTTCCTGCATTTCCCCCAAGGGCTTCAGTGAGGAGAAATGTGGGGGCCCCAGGGACTTGTCTCAGCTTTGCCCTCCATTCAGCCACAGAGAGAACTCTGGGGCCCAGTAGGGATCCCTGTCTGGGACCTGGTTTCCTTCACTGGAAAGCAGACGGAACACTCCCCACCACCACCCTGTATCGTGTTCAGATAAGAGTTTAAGGAGTTGCTTGTGTACCTTGACTGCTACCTCTGACCTCCATCAGAGCTTCTGGGGGGGAAGTGCCAGCCACTCCTGGGGAGGGTAGGTGGGCAGTTCATTTGTACAAAGAGGGCCAGTGTCTGATGTGCCGATAAGGCCGGATGGACAACCGGACAGTTGGCTACAGCCCACAATGAGCCGGATGCCCCACACCTGTCCACAAAGGAGGGGGTGGCTATTGCCTTGCTTCTGACCAGCAGCCTCGAGATAGCATCAGCCCTACCAGAGGGCCATCCATCTTGTCCAACAAAGACCAGGACAAAAGCTGTGTCAGGGACAGCCTCCCGACCTGGTCAGTGGCAGTTAGTGGGGGCCCAGGCTTTCCTGTGCCTAGCCCTGAGGCTCCTCACCCAGTCCTGTTGGGGGTTCTCAGAGAACAGCCTTCATTGTTCACAGGGCCAGGTGGATGGGACCACACCAAGGACGAGAGAGGGACCCTGTCCTAAGCATCCCTAAGCTGGCTCCAATAGTGAGGAAGGCATCAGAGGGGTACTCTGTCCTCCTTGTTAGCAGCCTGTGCCAGGCACCCAGGGAAGAGTCTGAGGACCTGATTGCTCAGTGCCAGGGCCAGGACTGGGGCAGAAGACTAGAGGGGGACTAGAGGGTCCTGAGAAGCTCCCTTGCCAGTCTGGGAGTTGGGGAAGCTTTCCTGAGGGAAACAGCAGGGAGGGGGGACTTGCTGCAAAAGTAGGGGATAAGCAAGGGGCAGTGGTGCGAAGGGCACCATGTGCCAGGCAGAAAGAACAGCATGTGCATAGGTCTAGCTGGGAGGCAGGGCCAGTGTGGTGTAGCTCAGGAGCCTGGGGGGGGGGCAGCAGCTGTGGCGACAGTGCGAGGGTGAGGACAGTGTTCCCAGTGTGGGCTTTAAGTCCTGGCAGAAGGGGTAGGGGGCTGGAGCTGCTGCTGTGGATTTGGGATCAAGGATAGAAAGATCTAGTGTATCTGGAGGGGCCTGGGGCCTAGCTCACTAAGGGCCAAAGACCTTGTTACCCACTCACACCCGAAGGGGATTTCCATGGCTTCTACCTTCCAGGCCCCCACACTCTCCAGAGGCTGACTACACACTCAGATGGATTGCAGACCCCACCTGAGTGTTCTCAGCACACACACATCCCGATTTCAGTTTACCACAACTGCTCTGAAAGCTGTCAACGCAGCAGGGGAGGCGGGTCACCTCAAGCCCTGAGCTGTCCTCAGCACGTCCTTGTGGCCCCTCACTGCTTACAAGAATCCTCTATGCATCCTCTGTTTGCCTGTCTACATTGTGGATGTCCTCTCTGTCCACACTACCCACAGTGACCTGTGACTGCGGGGCAAGGGAGTTTACTCACTGACTTTTGCTTGCCCCAGGCCAGTTTGGCCCAGTGTGAAGATGTAATTGTGTCCCTTGCACAGCCTTCCTGGGGCCTTTTCTGGGGTTTGGCGAGTGGGATCCAAGGTCACTGGTGCAGAGATAGGCTAGATTAGAAGGGTTTATTCAGCATGGAATGGGGAGGGGAGGGGAGGCTCCTAAGTATTGTGCTGTAGCTGGGCACCTCTACCTCCCCAAGCGTAGAGGGTGTAGGTCGTCTCACTCCTCACTATGGATTAGGGCCTTTGGGTCTCAGAGAGTCTGGGAGGCTGGGCAGAGGCCAAGGCGGATCCAAGAGCGGGCGAGGGCTCCTCCGGGAAGGGTTGCATCGACTTTGCAGACCTACGATGATCGATGATCGACGCTAGTCCCCTCCTCTTAGGACACACCTGCCTCGGCGGGCTTGTCCACTAGTGGGGCGGTCAGCGGTGACTGGTGCGCGGTGCGGGTGCGGGCGCGCAGCCTCTGCAGGCGGCACAGCAGCAGTGCCAGGAGCAGGGCGTGTAGCAGCCCGAGGCCGAGCAGCAAAAGCTGAGTCGCCAGCGACCCCCTGCAGAGTCGGCCGGGTGCGCATGCGGCGCGCAGCTCCTCCTCGGCTAGGTAGGGCAGCAAGCGGCCGCGCAGCGCAGGGGGTGAGACGCAGCGCAGATCGCGGTAGGGAGCGCGTTCGGGGCGGCCGGCCAGCCAGGCGCGCAGCGGCACCAGGCGGCAGTCGCAGCGCCAGGGGTTAGCGCCCAGGTGCGCGGCGCGCAGCACGGGCAGCGTGTCCAGCAGCCCAGGCGGCAGCGCCGTCAAGTTGTTGCCGGTCAGCACCAGTTCTGTGGTGTCGGGCGGGAAGACTGCGGGCAGCGAGGCCGACGTCAGCCCGCGGCGCCCGCAGTCCACCTGCGTCCCCGCGCAGCTACAAGGCTCGGGGCAGCCCACAGCTGCAAGGCTTGGCGGTGCCAGCAGTAGCAGCAGTAGGCTGAGCGCCCCGCGCGGCCCTGGAAGAGAAGGGCTGAAATGAGCCGGAGGACTGGGGGACACCCAGGCGGCGTCCCTCAACGTCAGGGACGCTTGGCCTGGCTCCATGCAGCTCCTGAGGCCCGTAGCCCTGTAAGCCCCGGAGCCTCTCCACCACCCCACGCGCTGGCTGAAATTCCCCAACCTGATACAACCCTTTCCCTATTACTGCCAAGATGACCAGAATGCCTCCTAACCCACGTCTGCCCAGGAAGCAGACCTGACCCCAGACTCACGGGAGGCCATGGCGAGAGGTCGGTGGCCTGGCTTGCTCTGGAGCGGGAGGCGTTGACCACAGAGCCAGCCCGCTCCTTACAGGCCCTGAAAGCCCGCCGTCGCACAGACCGCAGTGCTGCCACCCGGCCAGAAATAACTCGGAGGCCACGCGGACCAGCGCTGCATCTGCAGATAGGGTGCTATCACCAGGGCCCGCCGGCTGCCTGGGCTTCCGCCCCCACCCGCTCCCAGGGGCACACGGAACACTCGGACACGCGCAGCGACGTTCACCAACATTGTTCTCCTGTCGCCAGGACAGGACGTGGCATTCACAACTGAACAAAACGGAGCACGGGGTGGGGGGTGGCGGGATCATGCGGGTGGAGAAATGGAAGAGGCTGAAGGCTTGAAATCCCAGCAGTTGGAGAGGGCCCCTCCAGCATGGGCAGGGAATGGCCGCCTGGGCATGAGGGTTGCTAGGGGATGGCCCACCGCCCACTACCCCGGGGGCTCTTCAGGTTTGCTGGAGGTTGTGGGGAAGGGGCTGGACTGCTGGCGGCTGGCCTTACCCTCCTCAACAGCAGCCTTCTAATCTGGAGCCTTCCCAGCTGCTTGAGCAGCCCAACCCTGCCTGCTCTAGCCTCCAGTGCAGGTGACTGGGTAAGGGAGGACCTAGCCCACCTTGCACAAAGTAGGGTGTCAGCACACACTGGGTGCCTCACAGCAATGGGCACAAGAGGGCTCCTAAATTTGCTCTGCGGCACAGGGCTGGGGAAATAGGCCCGGCCTTTTCCCCTCCTCTGCCTTAGTTTACCCTTTTGCCTGAGCAGGGCTTGGAGCTTGAGTGCTCTGACCTTCCTGGGAAGGGGACTCTAGGAAGTTGTATCCAACTTGGCTCCTACTTCCCCAAGGCCGGGGGTGGGGGTGGGGGGAATAGCCCA